AGAACAATAAAAAGAATCCGGATAACAAATAAGTCTATTCAAGCATCCCTGAATTTATAAGTTCTGAGTAATCTTGGAATACAGCACAGACCATCGGAAAGTCGATCACGATTTAACTGAGTTGACAATGGAGAAAGCTTTAACATAATTCATACAATAGTTCTACCATAATATTTAGTTTGTTCTTTAATGAATAATTTATGGTTTCAAATACAGACTCTTAACTTACTAAACACAATCATATAAGTAGGAACATGAATATTATATAATACCTGTACTGAGTGGCAGTATGTAGCCACCTGAAGTAATAAACCACTTTCTGATCCAGTGATTTCTGATTGAACGGATACACTCAGAGCAGTCAGCCATGATTGGTCTGGAGCTGCACAATAGGGAACTTCCCTGGGTACGGTGAAGCGATCTAGCTCAATCTAGTCTATAAGCCGTCATCGAATAAAACGTCATCCAGGATAAAAGCCCGCATAAGGCTGGCTATCTATTGTTTAATTAAACCATCTACAGGGAGGGGGGGGTCGGGGGGTGAACCTAACACAACACAATAGTAAAATATAAGAAGGATTAGGGATGATTAGAGCGTAAACGGATAAAAATCTGACGATAAACGAAATACCGGTTTGTTCAATTTCAAATATCATTAACAAGTCATCACGATCATTCGTATCCACAAAACGTCCCGTTTCATGCCGGACATCTTGCCCGGATCTCAATCGTGCAGAGCAGAGGTGCTCTCCTACATATTGAAACATGGCCATACAGACTCCGTTATCCACCATTGTCTGGGCTCGGGCAATTGTAGATATGGCAGCTTTGCAGAAAGGATCATGTAATGATGCGTCTGTTTTAGATATCCACAGGTTTAGCCGAGGATGGCTTGCAAAGCATCTGCCAAGGGTGTCGGTTAAGTGGTTGCAATTGTGTAGATTGTTGCAGTATTCTTTCATACTGACCGCCTGGCAAGCTAACACCAATCATATCGCCGACTTATACTTTGTTTCTAATTCTTGATAGCTTCAGCTGCGCGTATATACATGTCGCCACCGGTATACGATCCTGTGTTGTTGAGGTCTGTTACTGTTTCTTGTTACATAGTTGGTCTCCGAGTGCGGCCACCGTCCGTACAACGCAAATCACTATGACAAGGACTGCGTGTTACATCCGCATTGGACATTAATATTCAGATTCAAGAGATTCTAATGAAATCGATATTGAATTGGAAAAATATAAACTTCAAGACAATTTGTGATCTATATATATTACCCACCCTTAATAAGAAATGCCTGAGTGTAATGTCAAGTTGAGATTGAAGATATTCGTTACATTTTGACGTGCTCTTTGATAAGGTTTGTAATAATATATGATAAACACTTACACTTTAAACCTATTTCGGGAGCGTTGATGTCCGGACGAATACGAGTTTGGCGTTTTTGGTCGACTACATAGCCACAGCCGTGAAGGTGTCTCAAATATGTTTCATAGTTATAGATATATCCTAAATATGGATATATAATCAAACAAAAACTCTTAATATCCATCAGACGTCTAAATTTTGGGAATAAACCAACGCTAAAACTGATCTTATGTACTTGTTCAGTGCTATAATATCAATTTTGTTGCCGATTCAATTCAGCAACAAAAAAAACACAAGTTACAAGTAGTCACAACCATGCAATTCCTCGCTAACGTCTACTTGAAGCGTCCAGCAGTGAGTCATGTCTCTATGCTCATATTAGTAATCTCCGCTAGGGCAGATACGAAAACCATGATGATCCCATATAAATACGAACCAACAGGTCTTACGGCATTTATGGTATAGCTAGTGTTCTACTGCGTTATTCATAATGATCTAGGGCGGAGCGCTTATGTAATATAAGCTTATTAAGCATACTAAGCGAAAAGACAGAGTATATCAAGTGTGTCTATTCCCTTTATTATAAATCCTTACATAAAACAGAACGTTGCGATAAACTGACCTTCGAGTGGAGGGTATTCACCTCCACGTGGCTCATGATATGCAAACTTTGTTTCACTCAACTATTAAGCAGCCTCACCGTGTCTTTTCACTAGCTTCGGCGCCAGCGAGGGCAATCAGCTTCGGGCAGAGAAGGAGTTATTGTGTGCGCCCGATGAGAGACACCGTGCGAATCCCTGAAGACTGATCGAGTTTATTTCAAGTCTGGGATTGAGTTCGAGGGCGTTTGTGTGCACGCGCAGACTTCCTCGGTACGGTGATAGTCCGCCGCTCTGTATCTCAGTGTGTAAAGCCAAGGATGGGTGGTTCGATCGGGCGTTCGTATGTGCAGACTCAGAGAGCGTGTCTGCCCTCTCCGTCGGTCGCCATGGCGATGAATAGGCGGCGGCTGGTGCGACTTGCTGAGGAACCTGAGCAAGAACAAGCAAGTGAATTCATCAATCGGAGATTCATGCGTTGCGAAAGCTGAATGCGATACTTAGGCTCCAACTAGTAATTCAAGCAGAAAAATCAAAATGGATCTTGACATTTATACAATGAAACAACAGTCTTACTTTGGTATGAAGTCTTACCTATTCAAGTTCTCACATCGATGCCATTTTGTTTTGTTCTTTCCTCCGTGGAGAAAATCTGGTTCGTAATTCTTGGTCCATTCAATCATCTCTTGCCTCGGTTCGTAGTTCGTTTGTGTCTGAAAAATAATAATATATAAAACACCACTAATTCTTTCCTAATTCCCTGTAGTTATGGTAGTGAAAATGATCCAATGTTTTCCCACAGACGGAACGACATCACTGTACAACAACTAACGACTTTCGTCAACAGAATTTAACTTCATTTCAATCCTTTTAAACAATTTATCTGTCTACCTGCAGTTTCATTATTATTGTAACAACATACGCCAAAACCAAATGCCAAATCACTTCAACTTGCATTTTGTATTTTTCGTGTCAACCAAATCCAAATTCATGTTGTCGTCCTGTGAAACAAAATTGAAGTGTGCTTACGTCAGCATGACTAACTGAGCCTTTTCAAACAATTAGACATTAGTCCTGTACGTTTCACCGTTGAATTCAATTTCTTTCAATTACAGCCGAAGATTTTATTAGCTTATTAGGATATGCTCACTGAATAAGCGGTATAAACACACACTGTTTATCAGAGATTTGGGTGAAATGGTTCTAATTCTTTGTACTATGAGAGAATATTGCGTAGACTAACTGTAACTTACCGCTGCTGGTTAGCAACTGAAGGGGTCTACAGCAGCTCCCAGTGACGATTTGATCAGACAGACAGTCACGTTTGCAGACAGCGCGTACGAGGACTTCGACTTTTTTACGGAGCTATCATAGTCCTTTTATTTTAACTATCTTCTTAAATGACATGTCTTTATAGAAAGGGACTAGCAATGATCAACGAATAGCACATTTTCTTAAGTAACAGGGTGAAAACATTCCTAGTGGAAAAGTCACAACCACCAATACCTGATTGGCTTCTTTTTTGGTTTTGGTGTGTAGTAGGTTTAGACTTAGGTCGTAGAACAGATTAATGTTGATATGAATCAAAGGGTTCTATCAGCCAATTCAGTATGGCCAGATATAGGGCAGGGTCGAGCCATCACCCAGGGTTCACATGGGAACGATGAGGATGGAGAGTTGACCAGGTTTGACAAGGATTGCTCAACTGATTTATAACTGTTATTGGAGCACAAAGCAAAAAGGGGCGGGACTTAGGAAGGGTCAATTCCGGGTGGATTTGGGTCAGATTATGCTTCACTATTTTGGACTCTAAACTAGAGTCCTTACCTGTTGGTGCCTTGTCGCCTTCTCCAACGTTTCGCATCAAGCTTGTGTTGGACTCAGTGCAGTCTGCAACGAGGCCATTCGGCTGCTCCAGACATAGAGTAGTGTCACACCCCCTCTGCTCCAAAGGCACCATGTTCTGTAGATTCTCATTCACCCTGTGCCAACTCTCTTCCTCCTTCTCCTCTCCAACCACTGCTTCGCCACCTGCTGCCTGCCTCTCCCAGCTGCAGGTCTGTATGCCCAACAGGGACTGGACTCTTGATTGGCAATCTGCTCCTGATGATGGCAAAGACTCCAGTCCTGGGAAACCCGGTCCAGACCTGGCAGGACGACAAGGCACTTTGCGGTTGGCTTTCTTTTTCACCCCAGTGAAGCCACCCCTTCTGTTGTAGGGCCTCTTGGATGTCTGATTTGTGCTGTCTTCATTGTGTGTGATTTTGATT